AGTGGTTAGATGTTGCTATTATTTACCCTATCTATGATAGTGTATGGGTAAGTCCAATTCATTGTGTTCCATAGAAGGGTGGCATGGCAATGTTCAGCAATGAGAAAAATGAATTAATTCCTACAAGAATCGTTACAGGATGAATGATCTATATGGATTATAGGAAGCTGAACAAGGCCACATGGAAGCACCATTTCCCCTACCATTTATTGATCAGATGTTGGATAGGTTGGCTGGTAAGGATTATTATTGCTTCTTAAATGGGTATTCTGACTACAATCAAATAGCCTTTGCACCTAAAGATTAAGAAAAGACTACATTCACTTGTCCTTATGGTATTTTTGCTTTTAGAAGAATGCCTTTTAGACTGTGCAATGCTCCAGCCACATTTCAATGTTACATGATGGCAATATTTTCAGACATCATTGAGAATTCCATAGAGTTTTTCATGGATGATTTCTCTGGTTTTGGAGAATCATTCAAGAAATGCCTCGATGGTTTGGATTTTGTGCTCACCGGATGTGAAGATAACAATCTTATTCTGAATCGAGAGAAGTGCCATTTTATGGTGAAGGAAGGTATTGTTCTTAGGCATAAAATTTAAAAGAAAGACTTAGAAGTGGATCAAGCAAAGGTAGAAGTTATAGAGAAGGTTCCACCTCTAGTAAACATAATGGGAATTATAGGTTTTTCGGGTCATGTTGGATTTTCTAAAAGATTTATCAAGGATTTTTCTAAGATAACTAAGTCGTTGTGCCAATTGCTGCAACATGATGTGCCTTATATCTTCATTCAGGAATGTAGGGATGCCTTCAAGCTATTGATAAAAGCCTTGATCTCTGCACCAATTGTGAAGACTCCTGATTGGACAAAGCCCTTTGAGTTGATGTGTGATGCCAGTGATTTTTCCATTGGAGCTATGTTTTGTCAAAGACATAACAAGGCGTTCCATACCATTTACTATGCTATTAGGACATTAATTGACACACAAATCAACTACACCATAACTTAAAAAGAGTTGCTAGATGTTGTCTTTAGTTTTGAAAAATTCAGATCCTACCTGGTGGGAATAAAATTCATTGTGTATACTGATCATGCTGCCATAAATTACCTCATTGCCAAGAAGGATGCCAAGCCTAGATTGATAAGATGGGTGCTACTTTTACAAGAGTTTGACCTAGAGATTAGAGGCAAGAAAGGAGTAAAGAATTTGGTTGTTGACCATCTTTCAAGACTTCCAGAGGAAGTACAGAACAAGAACAATGCAGACGTTCAAGAAATTTTTCCTGATGAATAGATGTTGCTGATTACCTCTGGTGTGACACCTTGGTATGCTGATATTGTCAACTACCTGGTCAGTATATGCATTCTACCAAGCTTTAACCCTCAACAAAGGAAGATGTTCTTCCATATGACCAAAATTTACTTTTGGGATGAACCTTTTCTTTACAAAAAAATGTAGTGACCAACTGCTTAGAAGATGCATAGACCAACCAGAGGCACAACAGATCTTGTCTACCAATCATGAGGCTCCTTATGAAGGACATTTTGGAGGAACCATAATTGATGCCAAAGTTCTTCAATCAGGTTATTTCTGACCCTCTCTTTTTAAAGATGCTCATTGTAGCACCCCAAAATTTCCCCATCCTTTTCCTATATCTTGGCTTACGTTTCATATCATTCTTGCATTGGCATTTGCATATGGAATTAATCTTAGACAGGGGATCGGGATATTTTATCCAACAATCATGAGAAGAGCTTCCTCTTCAAAGTTTAACCAAGATTTTATGCTCAACTTTGTAGCGATATCAAGTCACAAGGTTCCCTCATCATCAAGACAATTCTCACAATCACTTAATAAAGAGCACAAGCATTAATTCTCATCCTCTTATCTCATGGATAACTGATTAGGATTTTTGGTTCAAAGAAGATTTGGGCGGGACATGGTTCTAAAGCTCAACACACACCTTGGGGGTCCTCTACATGGATTATGTGTCATCACAAACCATCACAAGAGCCTCAGTCAATGGAAATGGTCCTAGGGTTTCATCTGGTCAACAAAAGTCAACTATGGTTCAATGGGGTCAAAAACCTTGGGTCTCAAGGTCAATTAAGAGCATGATATATGTTTTAAAGTGATTTCGTGTGTTTGGAACAAGGAGAATCAAGGAGAAACATAAAATTAAGAGTTTGACTAAATTGGGGTTTTGGTGGGAATTTTTCTAAGTGTAGAAAACTCCAATTCTAGGCATCTTGCAACTTCCATAATTTTCTCGTCCTTGATCCAATGGAGGAAAACTTGTTATCAAATTAAAGGGGATGTCATGAACTACAAGTTTATGGAAGGAGGCATTTCCAAAAGACACGTAGTTTAAAAGATATGATGAGCTAAAGTTGAGGAAATGGAGATTTTGATCTTTCAACACTTAGAATTTTTTTCTAAGTGTAGAAATTCAGCTCGAAGTACCTACTTTCAAGCCCATCTTTCATGATGATACAAGTTTCAAATGAATTTTCCCTAAACATGAAAGTTATAGAGCATCCTCCAAGCTTTCTTTTCAATATTAGAACTCTTCCATTGGATGTGTAGAACTCAAGTTGTGTGCTTTTAAAGTCAAGATATCAATGATGTCAAAAGTTTCATAATTTGGATTTTTTTCTAAGTTGTCTTGGGCAGAATTTTATACATGACTTACACTCTACTTTTCTCAAACTTCAAAGGCTTATTTCACCTTTCCCTCAACATGAGATTTGCTCATTATGGTCTTAGCTTTTCATTGCATACAAGAACTCACCATTTGAGCCAAAGTTCATCAAGATATTATGCTTCAAAGATGATAATGTGAATTTGGTTTTAATGCACTATTCATGATTTTTTTTCTTGCATGAAGTTTGGACATTTCTTGCAGCATGGTTTGCTACCAATCCACATACACATAATACCTCTCTTTTTCTCACAAAATCATTGCCCAAAAGAACCAAACAAATCATATACCACTCATGCATGCTTTCTCACCATATTACCACAATAAGTGAAATTTCAAACTTGCACAACAAGTGTGTTATCTCCACCCTTTCATTCTGATTTTTCTCCCATCTCATTTCAGCTCACCAAGGACACAACAAAACCACCCCATGCATGCCAAATTCGGATTCCACCTCACACCCACTCAAAATGGCCAATTTTTCAAACAACTTTATTTCTTTGTTTTGCGTCACAAATCACTTCAACCCATCATATAAATACCTTATAAACTCTATATGAGAGGAGAGGAGCCTCATTTTTACAAGTTTAAAACAAAAATATCTCTTTCTCTCTCAAGAACATCCATTTTCGTTTTTGGATTCTACTATAAAGTTCCTTCTTTTTTGGGTCCACTCATCATCCTTGAGGTATCTAGAAGGTAAAGGGACATTTTTCTTCAAGCTTTGCTCAAGAAACAAGTGCTAACGGAGCTTTTTGGCTAGGTAACAACTTGAATTTTTTCAATCTTTGTTATGCATCATTTTAAGTTCATTTGGTTGCTAGAAGCATGAGAAAGCATGTGATGAAATCCTATCATGTTTAGGTTATGTTTATGCATAGATATATGATGTTTCATTTTCTGACACTTACTTTGTTTCTTGAGTTCATGGAGTTTTAATGGTTGTTTTTAGTTGTTATTAACATATTTGAAACCTACACAAAAAGTCCTTGAAAATGGTACCCATGTTGTCTTAATTTGTTGAAGTGGAAATTTGTATGCACTAATTTCATGGCAGTTTTTCTTGATCTTAGAGGATTATTTATAAATTTTTAACCACATTTTTGGAATCTACGCGAAAAACGGAGAAAGGGTGGTCTCGAAAACCGCCACCGGTGACCTCCACCACCGGCAGCAGCGGTCGGCGTCGTTCCGGCGAGTCTTCGTGGTGGCTCCACCGCCTGCCCGACGGGATGAACATTGGGGGAGGTGGTGGTCTGATTTTGGCGTGGCATGAGTGGAGAAGATGAAGTCTTTTGTCTAATTCCTATTTTGTTTTTAGTCACTTAAATTTTATGGTCCAATTGATAAATGTTACATAGTTTGTTACATTGTCACATTATTTTTCTTTCTATTTATTTTCTTATTTTATTTTATTTTTAATAAATAGACATTGGGTCTTCTTGCTTTCTGCACCCCTGCTTGAGCCCAGTGTTGATTCTGGGCTAGTTATTTTGCTGAATACACCGCTGTTCTTTCCTTTGGACTAACTTCTTTGCATTTTGTTTTATTTTTCTTTTTTTAACTTTTATTTACTATTAAAAATACACAAAAATATATTTCTATTTTTTTAGGATCTTAAGATAATTTCCATTATTTTTATTTTTATTTTTAATTAATTTTGATATTTTATTTTATTTTCTCTTGAGGAAGTACTTTCTTTGATACCTTTGTTAAAAGGTTGAGGAATTGAGTGACTTCTCCTCAATATTTAAAGCTATTTTTTTAGCCACACTAAGGAAATTGGTTTGGGATCATATGATGATAATTTGAGTTTGGTTATACATAGTTTATCTAAAAAAAATTTCAAGAAATATTTATCCTCTAATGTCATTACAATGACTCCATTATCGTTATGGATATCTTCATCTTGGGTTTTTGTGACTAAATAATTATAATGCATTTTTAAAAAACAATAAAAGTAATATTTTGGTATTTTCTTATAAAAGAAAGTTGTAAAAAATTGTTAAATCTATTTTCTTTTATAATTATTAATTGACTTAAAAACAAAAATTAACAATTAAATAAGACCTAAAATTTTTCAGTAATTAAACACAAAGTAATATACATGGAAACAATCACAATATATGGTTTATAAAAGCTATTACAATACCACATCCTTTATTTGTATCTAGAGGAACTAACATAAACAACACAAATTTTAAGATACTATTCATAAACATTCTTCTTTATTTTACAACATAAATTATATTGTAGTCTTGTTCTAAAATCAGATAACACATTTAGTTTGTTTGTTTAATCCTTTTTCACTTGGCTACTTGCAAGCTTCACTGTAACAATGATAAATCCTTTGTCACAACCAAAAGCAACCCTGCAAAATATAACAACATGTGTTCAATTATTAAAATAAAAAATAGAATTTATTGTTAATTGTGAAATGAATATTTAGTTTAGAAAATTACTGAGATGATCCTTTTTTATATCCAATACTCCATACTCTCTCAAGACCAAATTCCAATGAAGTTTCAAGCCTGCAAGTTATTAGTGACAAATGTTAAAAAATGTGAATTATATTCAACACAGTAATTAAAAATACAAGAATTTCAATAAATACTTATATACCTATATGAGACAATATCCCATATTTTAACAGTAGAATCCTCTGAAGCTGTAATTATTATAGGAATTTCAGGATGAGCACATATTGCTGTAACATTGTTTTTGTGCCCTTCAAGTGTTTTTATGCATTCTTTAGAATTATAATCCCATACCTGTTGAGATATATATGATACAATTACATACTTCAAAAGGTGAACGAAATTAAAAAAAAAAGTTATAATCAAACCTTGGCATTGTAATCATCAGAACCACTTAAAAGATACTGATTTTCATTACTCTCAAAATAATCAAGACAATTCACTCCTTTTAGGTGTCCTTCAATGGTGAAATTTGAAGTTGGAGAATCAATAGTCCAAACCTATCGAAAGATACAAATGGTAGAAAATAACGTTAATGTTCGCAACCTAGACAAGTTCATAATAAGTTCTTGATATAAATGTTAGCAATTTAGAAACCTTTATAGTGCCATCAAGGGATGAACTAGCAAAGATAGATGGATCTTTAGGGTTAAATGCGACTTGCATCACATAATGCGAGTGTCCTTCAAAAGTCTCATCACAAGACCAACCTTTCTTCCAATTCCATAATTTCAAAACTTGATCATCAGAAGCAGACACCACGTATGGCAGAAAAGGATGAATATCTAAACTTCTGATATAATCTTTATGTCCTTCAAATTCTATTATCTTTTCCATTTTCTCATGATTGTAGACGCGAATATATTTGTCATCGCTCGCTGCGATAATCCAATTTTCCCGAACGATAAACTTCGCCGATCTCACTATAGATCAAACAAGAAGAACAAATAAGAAACCACAACAAATTGTAACTTAAATTAAAAACCATTGTGAGATTTACCTGGTGATTCACTAATTTTGAGAGACTTCTCTTCAACCTTTTCATGTCAGAGTAATAAAATCAATGTTAAGTTAAGCTACAAAGTTTTTTAATTTAAAGCTCAAATTTAATTCTTTACCTTTGTTTGATAGTTCCATATAGAAATAGTTCCTGAATATAAACCTAGTAGAACCCTGCATGAAAAAAATAAAATATATAAGTGTTTGTAATATTAACAACTAAATGTTACACTTAGAGTTTTTAGAAGAAAACTTGATAATATGAATATTTTTTTTTTCATGTCATATAAAAGAGAATATATATTAAAAAAATTACCATGGCTCAGTGGGATGCATATCAACAGATTTCACTCTTTCACTGTTTTGAACAAACTCATGCTGACCAAAAAATATTAGTAACAATATGTTAAGAAAAAATAATAATAATAATAATAATAAAAGTTTGAATATAAAATAGATATTAATGTAAAAAAGAGTAATACCTCAATTTCAAGGGAGAGAGTTTTTTCCTACAAAATCAACATCATAAAAAGCACTTATATTAATTGTGTCATAAAAAAATTACTTGAACATGCATGATGAACTTTTATAAATGAAAAAAGGGTTAAAATTTGAAAGAAATTTTAAAAAAGAGTATAGCTGATTAAGTTCAAAGAGGGAGAGGAGTGAATTATGACTGACCATGTTAGAAATTTGGTGCTTTCAAATTCAATTGTTGATCCAAAGGATTGCTAGAAAATATGTGTTTTTTTTGTTACAAAAGTGGTAGAAGAGATGTTGAAGATGAATTATGTTGTAGTAATATTGTGTTTATATAGTTAAGGATGCTTTGTAGTTAAGAAATGGAGAAATAATTTTCTTATGAGCTTCAAAGTTGATGTATTGTTAAACTTGACTTATTCAGTCACTATGAAATTATTACTTATCAATTAAGATATCATGCATTTGACTTAAAATGAATTTTATTCAAATTTGTATGGCTGTTGTATGCGTTATAAATATCCATTTTTGTCTTATTAATTCACTTGTTTTTTAACTTCTAAGAAGATCCATCTCTCTATTGATATTAGTCAATATCTTAATCCTCTTTATTCAACAATTTTGGGCAGGAAAGTATTACAAAACTCATCAAACAAAATCTTATTTTGATGATAGAAAGAAAAACTAATTACACCCCACACGTACTTCTGATACCTCCAACAAAATTAAAGAAATCTTTACAGTAGTGGAAATTGAATTCACGCTATTTTAAAATACGATGAGTCAACTTATAAAAGTTTAATTGATATGTATTCAATAAGAATGTATTAATATGTTATATCGTTAATTTAAAAATTACAGTCTAATATGATGGAATGCAAAATAGTGATTAATTGATAATATAAAATAATTTTACTATCAGTACAAATCAATTAAATTTATTATATAATATATTTAATTAAGGAAAAAACATAATATATAATATAACTAAAAGTTAAAATTAATCAACATAAATAATAAAAGATATATTTTTACAAAATGACTAATAGAATTTAATTGGATTAGGATTTGACCATAACTAATCTTTTAGAAATCGGACTCGTCATGGATACTGGATTACTAGCTAATTCTTTGGTTGAATCACAAGATTATTAATCAAACGGCATGATTAAATCGAATTAGATTAGATAATTAGATTGAATAAGTCAATCTCTATAATAAAATTATATGATTATTAAATTGTTCAAATCAGATTACTTGTTTTCTAAAAAAATCACAAGACTTACCAAATTACAAAATAAATATAATTATCACACACAACAAAATAATACAAATTACAATTTTAAATAAATTTTAAGCAAATTCTAATTGAACATAAATTTAAAAACAAAATAGTGTCTAATAAAATTAATTTTAAAGAAGGAAAACAAAAGAATATAATTTGAGATTACTAGAAGCTGAAAACAACAAGTCTTTTGCAGGAACAACTTTTAGATACCGAAGGATTCTTGTGGCAGTTTGATAGTGTGGTAGCAAAGGGCGAGAAACATGTTGGCTTAACGGCTGAACAACATAAGCAATATCAGGTGGTGAGTTTGTCAAGTAGATTAGTCTGCCAATCAATCATCTATATCAGGTTGGATCTTCTAATGGTTGGACCATCATTGGCAGAAAGTTTGGTGTTAGGATCAAAGGGAACGGCAGATGGTTTTGAGGCAAGCAACCCATTATCTTCTAAGAGATCAAAAGTGTACTTCCTCTGATTGAAGAAGATTCTTGCTTTGGACCTAGCAATCTCAAAGCCAAGGAAGTATCTTAGTTGACCAAGATCTTTAATCTTGAAGGTGTGATCCAATAGGTGTTTGACATAGTGAATTTCATCTATTGAATCACCTGCTAAAACAATATCATCCACGCAAACCAATAGAGTAGTGAAACTATGAGAATTAACCTTGACATATATGGAGTTATGGAGTGATCAGCCTTTGATTGAGAATATCCAATAGAAAGCAGAAAAGATGATAGCTTGGCGTACCATTGGCGACTAACTTTTTTTAAACCATAAAGAGACTTATGAAGTTTACAAACATGGGAAGCAGAAGAAGTAGACATACCAAGAAGAACATTCATGTAAACTTCTTCATTTAAGTCCCCATGGATGAAGGCATTATTAATGTTAAGTTGTTCTAAGTACCAACCTTTAATTTCTGCAAGAAACAAGAGAACTCTAATTGTAGTAATTTTTGCAACAGGTGAAAAAGTGTCAAAATAATCAATGTTTTCCATCTGTGTGTATCCTTTTTCTACCAACCTAGCCTTATACCTTTTAATTGAATCATCTACCCTGTATTTTATTTTGTAGACCCACCTACACCCAATAGGATTCTTAGCAGGGGGTAGTTCAATAACATCCCAAGTGTGATTCTCTGCAAGAGCTTGTAACTCAACATTCATAGCATTCTTCCAACTGTCAAACTTAATGGTTTGGTTAAATGTTTTTGGTTAAGTGTTAAATGATATGGCACAATAGAAATGTTTATAAGAAGGAAGGCATTTATCATATGTAAGAAATGAAGATAAAGGATATGCAATATTAGAGCCATTTGAATGCAATGAAGGAGATTTATTGGCAACAGAGTAACAATGGTAATCTTCCATGTAACTTGGGGATGAGAAGTTCTAGTGGAGTATCTTAAAGGCTGAGGTGGGTTATTGTTAGTTTTAGAATTGGTAGGAAAAGATGAGTTAATATTGACATGATCAATGGGAAGCTCATCAGATATGAGATGAGTAATATGGCTAGGAATAGAGCCGTTGGGAGAGGGTTAGGCAGGTTGGCTTGGACCTGTAGTACTAGGACCTACACTACTAGGACCTGTAGTATCAATGAGAGGGTTATGAATGGGACTGTTGGATAAAAGGTTACTAGGACCTGTAGTATCATTGATAGAATTATGAATAGGATAGTTGGATAAAATGTTATCAAATTAATTGTGGTTTGCAAGGCTAGGTGAGTCTAAATTATGTATAGGAGAGGGATCAGACTCACTATGTTGGGTATGAGAGAGAGGTGATGTGACAAAGTCATGAAAGGAATCGGATGTGTGATCGCGACTTTCTGAGTCTAACGGTACTAACTGCAAGTGCACAGTCTATCGGGTAGTAATAAAGATATCGATCTCACAGGGACAAGTAATCAAACTAGTGTTGTCGATTGTTACTATGTTTAGCTAAGGCGGAAAATGTTTTAGAAAATTGATGCTAAATTATGAAATAAAAAGGGAATAAAAGTTATAAGTTTTAAAAATATCGATAAGGGATATCGGTATGTAATGCCTTAATTATCGGGGATTCGACAAGTCGTCGGTGCTTTTTTAGCTTATGCAATAACTTTTCAGGAGAAAGTATTCATTTAAAAACCTTTGCTTCATGCTGGTTGTTGACTCGGGTCATAGTTTTAAGGCGGAACGTACGCTCTCGTAGTCCCATTCGGGGTTTAAATTACTTTTTGAAAATAAATAAAATATGATTTCTTTTAAAGCGCTTTCGCTGTGTTTAAAATTAATGCCTAGGTTTTACTATCCGGTTCAACCCCACGCTTTCACGTGCCAGCTCGAACCTTAATAAATTCCCCACTTTCGTGGCAAAACCATTGTAAATAGCTTCTCACTTTCGTGACAAAGGTTATTTAGAAAATCAGATTAAAAACTACGGCCAGAAAAATTGTTGTAAAAAGGTAAGATGCACCGGATATTATCGAATCCCGTCCTACTAATTCGATTACATACCGATGAAATCAGTTTAGCTTGACATGATAATTAATGCAAACATAAATAAACATAAACGGTATAATGACGTAACATGCATACTGACAGAAATAGAATAAGTATCCAATTAATAAGAACCTGTAAGTAGTACTGATATTAAATTCTCGAGTAGTCCTCCACAATGTCGGCAAGATTGTACTTTGGTAAAATAAAAGTGTATAATGAATATGGAAGTAATCTGAACTACAGGGAAAGGAAAGGAAATAACAGTAAAAAATGGAAAATGGCTTCAACAGAATTTTTGGCAGCAATTTGGTACGTAGAATGAAGCTCTCGCCTCAGGTCCAACTGCCATCCTTTTATATTCGAGGTTGCATGAGGAAATGTCGGAGGAAATGAGTTGAGGGAGAGAATTCTCAGGGAGGGCATACTGCATCATGCCTAGATTCTCTCCTCTTCGTGGCCACGTTCTGTTTTGAAAGTTATGACTGAAAATATGCTCGTGACGCTCGTGTTGGGGTTGTGACGCTCGTGACGATCGTGGTGGACCGTGACGACCGTCACACCTTTAAAATCCTGCTTTCTGGCTTTTTCTCCTCTTTTTTCCCTTCCTTGCGTGCTTTTCTATGTCTTTCTCATTTTTAGCGTGAGAATGAAATACCTGCGAAAACACTTTGCAAACTTGCAGAATAATCGGGATTCGGGTTGAATTTGTACAGTTAATCAATAGAAAATACGACAATTATAAGGTACATTTTCGCGTTATCAAACTCCCCTACACTTGAATTCTTGCTTGTCCTCAAGAAAATAGTCGAAAAGAAAAACCAATGCAAACATATGGCACACCTTCTTGAGTTTTCAAAATGTTTTTAAGGAGTTTTGTTAGGACGTCAGAGATTCAGTTAAAACAATACGTATACGGTAGTGACACAAAACAACAAGCATGCTCAAAGGCCTCCCTCTTATACAAGCTAGTTCTAATCATTTCACTATAGCTAAGCATAGAGTTTCTCGTATCAAATTTCGCCCGGTTTCGTTCTAGCGCAATCACGTTAAGCCATTTGCCTTTACACGCACGTAGTGGAATAGCCGGTTAGTGACTTTGATCCTTTTTAGTTTGGGGTCTGGTACACGAATGCAATAGCCCTCTATATATCCTACTTGTAAGGTATGGGGGATCGAATTGTAATTCGCCCTACCGAGTCCATAACCAGGGACCTATGAACCAACTGACAACGGATTTCTTACTTTTTCTTTTCTTTTTCTTTTTTCTTTTTCTGAATAGCAGAAGAAAGGATTGCTTCATAGTTAGGTATCAAAAACTTATTTTCATCGGCTTTCCACGTGGTTTGTGTTTAAGACGGTGCTGACTGCTGGTATAAACTACTAGGGGTTACGTTTGGGGTGAAACTCAAGGCTTCGGTATAATGGGTATTG